CCATTATTGTACATGACCAATTCTACTGTACACTGTTACCTCCATCCAGCACTGTTTCAAGAAAACATAACCCATATATACTGCACACATAAATGCATACACGCAAACATAACACACGTTGTTGAAAGGACACCAAGTCTCGTTGGTTGACGTGGAGGGAAGGGAATATGGGTAGATACAAGCGAACGGCTCAACCTTTTTTAAAAGATACGACATAGAAACATCCTTTGATGAATTGAAAATGCAAGAGGACAATTTTAACGATGGGGTACACTGTTACCCATCACGGTCTCTGTGTGTGCGTTACTGTGGCACGACAGCAAGAAGGGTTCGGCATTGAGCGAGCACTCAGCTTCATAAATTTGTTTATTTATTATTGTTGACTCAAGGCAGTATCTCTATTTGTGTTATGTATGCGTGCATGTGTGCTGGAGGAAGGGTATGTTGGTGTAGTTGCCTCCTTGTACGGAGCTGTTGCCGGGTTTAAAGATCTAAATAAATATCATAAGAGAAATATTGTAATTCTAGCGGAAACAAATAAACAAATTTTACCATTTTTAATTGATCCGGACCAAAAGTGCTTTGTTATGTAAGATTCAGTATACCATAGAATATTCAAATCAAGAAAATGTTGGAATAGGGGTATAACTTTCCTCGACCAGCAAAATGTTTTTGATCGAGTGGAGTGGACATGGGTCAACACGTGTCTTACACATTTGGTTTCGGGGATAAATTAATTAAATGGATTGAAATGACTTATATCAACTTATACAATCTCCTATTAACAACTGTTTTTCTATCAAAACTCTTTAAAGATTAATCGTTAAGTGAAAAAAGGGCTTCCCGGTTGTTCGCCTTACCTATACTCTACAGGCCAATCATCAGCTTGTTAATATACATGTATGTATAATAGAATTAGGATAAAGTAGGCACGTATCCACTGAAATGTGAACATTGTCTAATGTCTCTCTAAATGCAGAGGAACACATATTCTATAACGTAATATTTTTATTCATTTATTTATTTTTTACATGTTTCTCATACTGTATGTTGATAACTAGTTTGCTTGTGGTGTTTTGCTTGTTACTTACCGTGTATGAGTTTGAATTGTTCACATGTCATGTGCTTGTTACTTACCGTGTTTGAGTTTGAATTGTGTACATGTCATGTGCTTTGCTGACAGTACTTTGCCAGTTATATGACTTGATTATAGTGTTTTGTTTTGAACACAAACAGGAATTGGAAACTTATTTTGCGAGCTTCGAAAATGTCTGTTTCCTTTGTCAAGCAAAGAGACTCACAGACGTTTTTGAAAGCTTTTAGCCTTTATTATTTATACCAAACGTTTGAATCAGAAGTAGTTTGCTTGTTATGTAATTACTTGAAAGAGCTAGTCTTATTCTCATCTTACGTTTTATTTATTCCTCATCACATTCTATTCGCCATTCCTTAAGCATGCTCCATACATTCTATATACACTTTAGATTGTACTATATTAGTGCTTATTCGGACAAATCTTACACTTTGTTATATCAGTATATATATGTTTGAAAACTCTGTCATACCTTAGCTTCAGAGCTAATGTTTCTGTTTCACATACATGACACTGAAGACATGTGTATCTTGTATATTGCGTCTTGTAACACATGTCTGCACAATATAAAATAAAAAAAATTCAGGATATATTAGTACGCAAGAGAGAATGAATGTGTCAAGTATAATGAATGAAAAGGCAATGGAGAGTATTATGTACACAATGAAACATTGTCAGATTAGGTATTTCTGACAAGAATTCGGTGATAACGTCGGAACTTTAACATTATATTTTCCTATATATTATCGTTATCTAATTATGTATCAACTGAAAAATGAAAATTGTGTATAGTATTATTTCATATCAGTATTTTATAACATTAGAGAAAATTGTATTAGAGTATATCAGTATGGAAAGGAGAATGGATGAGTAATGTATGATGAAGGGAAAAAACAAATTGGAAACTATTTATCCGATGAAACATTGTAAGAATGTAAAAGTGATATAGGAATTAAATTATTAAAATAAAGATATAAATATAATTGAAGTAACATTTCGTATTTATTGTTACATTAATGATAGATTGTTGTATTTATTGTTACATTAATGACAGATTGTTGTATTTATTGTTACATTAATGATAGATTGTTGTTTTTGTTATTACAATAATGACATATGCAACCTTAGTTTTAGGATACTTAGAGGAAACACTTTACTCTAACCACAGTAAACACACTAAAGTTAATATTCCTTTTAATCTTGCCTCACGGATTGTCACTATCGTCAGTGACCAACAAGCTCAAATTGCTAGACTCAGTCCACTAAAGCAATACCTTAAAGCTTTATGTTATCCTACTGAGATAATAGAACATGGTATACAGAAAGCTATTGAAAAGGGACCCTTTACTTCCCGTCTACAAAACCTAAAGGATGCATCAAAGTTAGTTCCTTTTGTTTCTACTTTCAATCCACGGAATTGTAATATGTTTCCTGTGATAAAGAACAAATGTGAAGAGTTAAAGAAAAGTAGCAGGCGTATGAGAAACATTTTTAATAAACATGCTATTTTACATTGTAGACGCCAACTGGAAGAAGCAAACAGACAGGGAAAGTAGACTTTTTGCTTTAATTGTCCCTTGTGTGTAAGTAACGTTATATCTGTAGTTTTTCGATTTGGCGATGGCGAATACAACTGTGTTGGTTTGGGGGCATAGCCTCATACGTCGTATGGGACAATATTGTGACGAACAGACTTCCACCACCAATCTTGGTTTTTGCCAGGATTCACACAGTATCAGATGGTTGGCTACTCAGGCGGTACCATTGACACATTACGACGATATATGGGCGATATTAATTTCTACCGACCCGACGTGATCTGTCCCTTACAAATAGCTGGGAATGACCTTAGCCGTCCAGAACTTACCCCCGACGTTGTTTTTAAAAACTTTACTTCTTTGATAGAACAGTTGTTCGCTGCCCCATTTGTGCAAAATGTGGTAGTGTTTGAACTTTTCACGCGTCTGAGAACTCGTTCTCATAGAGGTGATGTAAACATTCATGTGTTTAACCAGAGAGTAAAAGTGTTAAACAGCAGGCTTTGTTCCGCCCTCGACATGAGTGTTTTTTGGTAAATTTTTGCGACATGACCGCATGGCAGATTTAAAACGACTGTATGACTCGGATGGGGTTCATTTTAGACGACAACACCCATATTTCAAGTCTGTCCGAGGTGGTGTTTTATTTGGACTGAAAGCGAGTGATATATATGGCCCCACAATTCTAGATCGACCGAGTAACGTTACAATGACTTTTCTTCGAGTTACCTCCCTTACAGCAGTAGACTTAGTAATTCACTTCAAGTCATATCATGAGAGACACTATATTTGTTACATTTTAGTGTTGTTGTGGTTGTTTTATTTTCTTAAATATTATTGCATATGTTCAGTTTTAAGCAATTAGTACCAATGAACATTTTGCAAGTTTAGATATTTTGTAAAACCTTGCCACATAATTTTAATCAATTCATATCAGTAATGTACTACACTTTTATACAGCATTAATCAAATTTATCATGATTTTATATCTGGTAAATTTAGATATTGTAATGGCATCAATGCCACTATAGTTATTTTCTTTTAAAAATAGTATTGGCCCATGTTGGTTCATGATCAATAGAAAATCAGAAGGAATATAAATATTACTGGCCTTTGATTGTCAAAAACCTTCATCTTTCAGATTTGTCACTGGCCCATAGTGGTTTCAGTTCAAAAGGCTTTCAGTTGTGTTACTGGCCTATGGTGGTTTCTGTATTTTTCAATTTTTCATTTTTGTTATGCATGCATTGTACAGCAGCGTGGCTCATACCGGTGCTTACAGCAATGTACTCACTATTGCCAATACTTCCTACTTGTAGGTAGTCGGTATACATGGTATGTTCTCCCTGTCTGTCATGCTGGTCATCATGGAGTCAACAAATAATCATTATTTACTATTATACAAATTTACAGTGTTGATTACATTTTTACATCTTTGAGTACATTGGTATTGTAATGTATTCGGCCTGTGTCAGTATTATATGCATGTCTTCAGTGGTGTTTAGTACAACTCAGTATTGGAACTCTTCTGTATCTGGAGTGAATAAAGCAGTTTCCGGTCTGGCAATCATGGCGTCTGTTGTAAATATTATATGGTGTCAGAAAAATCGAGCTGCATCGCTCACATAACCGGTCATCGACGGGTAAACAACATATAGATCAAAAGCTGAAAACCTGCCATTAACGATGGAAACAGGTAATATGAATTGCTCACCCAAATTTAACTGGGATACGACGGACCTTGTGGAGGAATGGAGAACCTTCATTCAACATGCAGAGTTCTGGTTTGCAGGACCTATGAGTACAAAATCTGAAGAAGAGAAATGTAACTATTTAATGATCTGGATCGGAGGTAAGGGCAGAGACATATATTCAACATGGACACTGACCGAGGAGGAGAAAAAGTCGTTTGACCATCTCAAACGTCAATTTGAAAAACACGTGAAACCGAGAACAAACCGCGTATATTCGAGATATCGGTTCCTCAGCCGTGCTCAGAAAGAAACTGAGACGTTTGAAAAGTTTCTAACTGATCTGAAATTACTTGCTAAAGACTGTGGATATCCTGAAGAAGATGATATGATCCGGGATGCGATAGTATTTGGGACAAAGGATCATAAAGTCAGAGCGAAATGCATCAATGAAGGGTCGGACCTCACACTGGAAAAGGCTGTGAATTACTCGAGAACATTTGAATTGTCAAAAGAACAAGTGAAATGTATTGAAGATAAAACTGTTCATGCTATCACTAAAAAGAATAACCCCAAACAAGCCCGTGGCCCACACAAGCCTCACCAACAACAACAAACCAAAAGCAGTCATGTCAGAGGGGATGGTAGGTCTAATACCTATGACTGTAGAAACTGTGGACGACACCATGGATACAAACAATGTCCAGCATTTGGAAAAAACTGTGATGCGTGTGGTAAGATGAATCACTTCGCGAACAAATGCTTGTCCAAAGGTCCAAATCAACACTCAAATCAGAAACAGAGGAAGCACAAACATGTTCATACTGTAGACGTATGGGATGATGACAATGATTTATTTTTGGGTGCAATATATACTGACAACCTTGAAATAAATGGGTTATACGAGGAGAACAAGTGGACAGAAAGTGTTAATGTTTGTAAAACGCCAATAAACTTTCAGTTAGACACTGGCGCCAAATGTAACGTGATACCGTCTCGTGTTCTACAACAAATTGACAAGGACATTGAGATAAACCCTACACAAATGTCGCTCCGCTCTTTCTCTAACCATACCATTAAGAGTAAGGGAAGTGTGGTTCTCCCCTGTACGTATAAGGATAGAACAGTAGATGTTTTGTTCTATGTAGTGGACATAGATGCTCAACCAGTGTTAGGATCAAAGGACTGCGAGCACTTAAATCTGGTGAAACGTATCTACTCAATCAAACAAGAAACACAATCCGTGCCCAAGGGAATATCTCCAGAGTATTCTGATGTGTTTCATGGCCTAGGATGCTTGCCGGGAACCTACACGATTAAGGTAGACCCATCAATACCACCAGTTGTGCACGCCCCAAGGCGTATTCCATTCGCGATAAAGGAAAAAGTAAAAGCTGAACTCGACCGGATGGAAAACATTGGTGTTATCAAACGACAAACGGACCCAACTAAGTGGGTGAATTCAATGGTGACGGTCACAAAGCCAAATGGAAAAATTAGAGTGTGCATCGACCCTCGCGACCTAAATAAGGCAATTCAGAGAGAACATTTCCCCCTCAAAACAGTCGAAGAAGTTGCTGCTATGATGCCTGGTGCCAAGATATTTAGCAAATTAGATGCAACATCTGGATTTTGGCAGATGCGTCTTGATAATGAAAGCTCCAAGCTCTGTACGTTCAACACACCATTTGGACGCTACAGATTTATGCGACTTCCGTTTGGTGTAAATTCTGCAACAGAGGTGTTTCAACGAGCCATTTCTGAAATGGTGCACGATATTGATGGTACAGAAGCCATCATTGATGACATCCTAATCTGGGGTGTTACCCAAGAGGAGCATGATCAACGGCTTGCTGCGGTACTAGAACGTGCCCGAGAATACGATCTGAAACTAAGTTTGGAAAAATGTGAAATAGGTAAACCTGAGGTTACCTATGTGGGTCATCGATTCACAAGTAAAGGTCTCAAACCAGATCCTGAGNAAAGCGAAGGACCCTTACTTGGCCTTGCTGGAGTATAGAAATACCAGGATTGATGGTGTTGAAATGTCGCCAGCTCAGATGTTCTTAGGACGTCGCTTGAAAACTCCATTACCTGCGACAGCACCCTTGTTGACGACCAATGCAAATACTCAAATCTATGTGAGTCTCAAATTGCGCCAAGCGAGGCAACAGGAGAACTTTAACAAACATGCCATGCAAAAGCCCCTCAAACCACTAGACCCAGGAGACCATGTCATGGTCAAACACCCCGCTAAAGGAACTTGGGAGGCTGGTATAGTCGAGCGTCAACATACCACTCCGCGCTCATACGTTGTGGAAAGCAACGGAAGAAAGTATCGTCGAAATAGGAGGTACTTGAAGCAAACACGTGCGCGTGCTGAAGTCGATCAAACATATGACAGTAGGACTATGAACTATGAACCAGTCTACGACTACCCAAGACGCGACCTTGAACGCGCTCCAGACCCAGTTCATCAGGAAGTCATAGTCCGTAACGACACACGAGAGGTCGTTACGACGCCTCCAACTTCTGGACAAAAGATGGATCCTTCAGAACCATTACCAAAAGTCACACGTAGTGGACGTGCCATTAATATCCCAGCACGATACCGTGACTGAACTGTGTTTATAACTTTGGACAAACTTTCAGTTTTGTTATGATGATTACTGTGAAAATTGAAAACAAATGTATCAATAGTTTTCTAATCAAAATTAGGGACTGTGCTCGTTTAATAACTTCATTTCAAACGAAAATTAATGAAACACAGGAACTTTTAGAAGTGGAGAACATTTTAATAAGTTGTTATAATTAATTTTGTACAAATGCCAGTTTAGTTATAGATTATGAAGGATACAGAGACTTTATAATAATTGACACAAAGAGTTTATGGTTAATTATCTCATTTATAAAGGGAAGGATGTAATGTATTCGGCCTGTGTCAGTATTATATGCATGTCTTCAGTGGTGTTTAGTACAACTCAGTATTGGAACTCTTCTGTATCTGGAGTGAATAAAGCAGTTTCCGGTCTGGCAATCATGGCGTCTGTTGTAGATATTATAGGTATATACTCCAACTGCTATAACATTAATATTTACTTCAATATTTTATATGTGGCTATACTACTAGAGCTATAATCTTATTTACATGTCAATATACTGCAACCAATGTTATGTCAAAATGTCTGCACATATATCCTGTCATGCACTTCAGACACCAGACAGTATGCGTCCGAGACGGAAGGCGGTAGCCAATCACTCTACAATCCCCAAAAGGTCTCGGTTGGCTGAGAGTCAAGTTGATACAGCTGCCTCTGCCCAAACCAGAGAAGTACCAGCTCCAGCAGCAGTACAAGAAAACAGTGTCGCCTCTGGGCGAATGATACGCGAGGCGGAAGCTGAACAAATTGTACAGAGGGATGTGCGGCAAGGTGTGAAAAAGCCTGTAGACAGCTTTTTCCCAAAATCAACTTTAATGCAGCTGTGGCCGGTGCCGTCTCAACATCCTCAAGTTCCTCAGCCACTGCTGAGCCGCCTATCTCAACAGGTTTTTCTCCAACACCGTTGGTGAGGATCACAATACACCAATAGTCAACTCAGTGTTACATAATGCTATAGATGTGGCAGCAACTGTTTCACAGGGGGCCCCAGCTCATGAGTGAAATCCACAGACATTTATTTCAACAGACATTCCCCTGTCAGCAATGGTTTCTCAGCCTATGAAAGAAAACATTTGGGTGGGGGTGGTGGGGGTGGGGGGTGGTGGATATATTGATATGTCCCTGATTGATAAGAAGGACAATGAGGCCTTTGAACAGGTCATCAAGTACACGGCTGGGGTTCCTGTGGTTCAGTGGGTGCCTAAACAAAAAACCAAATCTCTGTCAATAGACAAGTGGACCAACAGTTTCCACATATATGCCAGCATATATTGTGAGAAAAAACCACAAGAGTGTGGGGCCCTCTTGAAATACATGTCAATCATACGCAAACTAGCCAGTAAAGGGGCTGATTGGCAGTTTTACGATACTTCATTTAGGCAGTTGCAGGCAAAAAAAAGGGGGAGCAGGGCTGGGACCGTGTAGAGTGGGAACTTTGGCACGAGGCTATCATACGAAAAGCTGGGCAAACCTTTCAACAGACAAAACAGTCGTTCACTCTCACACACCCAAAAGGTTTTTGTTTCAAATTTCTTGAGAGAGTAGAAATTGCCCTGGAGCGGAGGGGGGCTGTAAACATGTTCATGGCTGTCCAGCATGTCACGGCTCTCACCAGCCCAGTAATTGCACTGCTTCCTCAGTACACCGCGGTCCTATGTGGGGTCCATACCTACTTTTCGTCCCCAACGCAACCAACATCCATACACTCCACACCGCTTTCAACCATATGCCACAAGACCACGTGGTTTCCCCAGAAATCGTTACCCCTATTATCGCAGATAGGCTTGCTTAGAAGGTTATGATAAAGACAAAACCCACTATCTTGTACAAGGTTTTATAGAAGGCTTTCGCATTCATTATGATGGGGGAGATTTCAAACAAACATGTCAGAACCTTTAGTCTGCAAAAGATTTTCCCCATATTATTCAAGACAAACTTCAGAAGGAATTACAGCCCCATCGGTGTGGTCCCTAAAAAAGACCCTGGTAAATATCGAATGATTCACCACCTTAGTCACCCAAAAGGTCTATCGATTAATAATGGAATCAGCACGCTAAACAGCTAGGCCAAGGTAGTTTTTTAGCTAAGACTGTCATCGAATCGGCATTCCGAATTATACCCATACATCCGGACGACCGCAGGTTGTTAGGCTTACAGTGGGATGGAAACATTTATTTCGACAGATGTTTATCTATGGGTTTATCAGAAAGTTGTAAAATCTTCGAAGAACTCAGTACTGCACTATAATGGGTAGCTTATACCAAACTGAACGCCCCAGCAGTTGTTAATGTATGAGATGATTTTCTGTTTGTTACCCAAACTGAAACAGAATGCAAAGCTATTCTTCATTCCTTTCAAGAGATGTGTGAATATATGGGTATCCCCTTAGCCCCGAATAAACTTTTGGACCTGAACAGGTATTGCCATTCCTTGGTATCACTTTGGACACCAGAAACATGGAAGCTAGACTCCCTCAAGATAAGTTGGTTAAATGCAAAGAACTTATCACCTCATTTAAAACCCGCAAGAAAGTAACCTTAAAAGATCTACAATCCCTTATTGGTACATTACATTTTGCCACTACTGTTGTCCTACCGGGACGGGCCTTCTTGCGAAGACTTATTGATTTAACTATGGGGGTTAACAAGCCATTCCACCTTATTCGTCTTACAAAGGCGGCCAAGGCCGACCTTGTCATGTGGGAAGAATTTCTACAAGACTTTAATGGTTCCCAGGTCTTCTTGGACGAAAAATGGTTGTTCAGTGATAATATCAAATTGTTCACAGACTCATCTTCTATAGGCTATGGGGGTATATTTCAGAACCAGTGGTTTTATGTAACTTGGGTCCCAAAAATACGACAGAAAGGCATTAACATAGCCATACTGAAGTTATATCCAATTGTTTTAGCTATTTTAGCTTGGGGTGAACACCTTCAACATAAATGCATCTGGTTTTTCACCGACAACCAGGCTCTGATCCCAGTAATTAACAAACAATCATCGCGAGATCCATTTATCATGCGGCTAATACGCAAGTTAGCATTGTTATGCCTAAAGTACAATATACTTTTTCGATGTGTCCATATTAAAGGTCATGACAACATACTAGCAGATGCTTTAGCTCGTTTACAGGTAGAGAAGTTCAAAAAATTATGTCCATCGGCCTCCCCAAAGCCAACATCAGTGCAGACACTGTTGGATCAGGAACTTTACCTATTATTTTGAAAAAAATGATGACTGCCGGTCTGGCACCAGCTACCCAAAAAATGTATAACAAGTTTTTGTCCGACTTGGACAGCTTCTGTACCACTGTGTTGCACACTCCTGGTCATATTCCACTTAATTACGCCACCGTTGCACTTAATGTAGCTCATTGTCATGAGAAACGTTTTTCGCCCTCTACGATAACTTCACATTTATCAGCGATAGCATACGTACACAATATTGCGGGTCATACAGATCCAACAAAGTCTTTCACTATTCGAAAGCTTTTAGCTGGAGCATCCACAATTTCCCCAACATATGATGCACGTCTTCCCATTACTGAACCAGTCCTGCATAGGTTAGTATCTTCATTGACCTTTCTTTGTCCTGACCAGTACGAACAACATCTTTATCGTTCCATCTTCACTTTAGCCTTTTATGGCTTGGCTCGCATAGGCGAACTTGTTTACACCAGTTCCCAGGTTGTCAAAAATATTCTCCAACTGTCAGATATACATATCGGCTATCACCACAACAATCCCACCAGTATTCAGATAAACTATTCTAACTTTAAACATAACTCAGACAATAGAGTACACAGTGTCACAGTGGCTAGTCTCGGGAAAGATTCTATAATATGCCCGGTCAAGGCATTATTGGGGTACTTGTCAGTACGGGGGCCGAGCCAGGGTAAGGCATTATTGGGGTACTTGTCAGTACGGGGGCCGAGCCAGGGTTACCTGTACCTCAACAAGGACCAACAGCCAGTAGTCCGATATACCTTTGAGATTTAACAATCAAACGTTGCCTTCGATTTTGCGAGTTAGATAGCTCCCAGCATAAAGGTCACTCTTTCAGGATTTGGGGGGGGGGGCAACATTAGCAGCGGAAAGAGATGACAGATGCCCAAATTCGCTTATTGAGCAGGTGGAAATCGGAAGCATTTAAAAAGTACATCCGTTCAGTTCCCATATACAATCCCAATCAACATTAAGGATACAGGCGCGTGGGTCCCTGTATGACAAACACTATTAGGCTTTAATAATAACATAGTTGACATAGGTAATCGGCAGGCGCGTGGGCCCCTGGTTAATTTTGATGTCACTCTGAACGGTATGGTGTTGTGGTGTGTTTGTTAGTCACAGGATATTTAGTTTTCCTTACATGATTGTTCAGTGTAACATAACTTTGCGAGTTTTCCAGTATTTTCTCCAGTTATTACTTATTAGCTTTCTCCATGCTGTTTGGGTGGCGGATGACAATATAAAGTATATTGTCATTTTGGCGGATGTTTTTTTCTTCCGCTCACCTTTGCTTATATTTTACAGACATTTTAATTTGTTCGAAGAAATAATTGGATTTTTTCGAAATCATGTGTGTTATTCAGATCAAGAATAAGTAAAAGAAGTTTTTATCCAAATTTTTCAGAATATGAATAAAAAATTGCGGCCACTTATTTTGTTGGAGAATTGATGAGACATTAAGCAAACAGAGCTTCACAGCATGGATATAGTTATAATCACTTTACATGTATAATTCTATAGAAGGTATTGGGAGGAGGTCAAGAGACAGCACAGATGACATTGTATGAGTATGTCATTTTTCTACCATCTGTAACTACGTTCTGGCACAACAGGAGGCCGGACAATGTCTACCTGATGCGGGCACAAAAGTTTGGAATGCCGATTCATTCTTCTTCACTCCAGTATCTTACAGATATCGGAACCAAGTTGTGTGACGAGGATATTCTTACTCGCTTTGCGGTACAATACGAGTGAAGCGTGTATCACACCTAGATCGTCGGTGTCTATGGTTTGTACGGGGCGACCGTCCTCTGTCTTCACTTGATGGATTCCCCGGCGTGACGGGTTCGACACTACCAAAATACCACTGTTGATCAGGGACAATCCACGTGGCAACCCACCAACAGGGCATGTCCACAGAACAGTTCCGGTAAAGGAAAGGGATACAACCCCTTTCCTTTCTCCCCAGTCAGAAACATATACACATTTTTTTATGTAGTGTATGAGTAAATTGGAGGAAAAGATGACACCATTCCTGACATTTGTTTCTTTGATGTCTGCTTTGATATGTCCTTGTCGATCTAAAAGTTTGATAGAAGCTGCCATTTTTAATATGCTACAGGACACAGCAAACATGGCGGTGTCATAAGTGATGCCATCACTCTCCTGGCCTAGCTCTAGGTACTGGTCCACCCTGATGGAGGTTTGTCTGATGCTGTAGAACTGAATTCCAGTATTGCAGGTCACTGCGACCCGATCTGTATCCACGGCACAGAGACCTCCACATGATCCGCTCAGTGTTATATCTACTACTGGTTTCAGGCTTTGGTCGAATACCTACATTTGATAGTAAATAAAATGATTCGTTCAACAAAATGACTAAATTAGTAAAAATGAGAAATATTAGTATTACTTAACCGGTGTTTATAACACCAGTAGCATAACTTTCATCCCGGGTCCACAACTATATCAATAATCCAAGTAATTATAACATATGTGTCGCACCAATTAACCTGGGTCCACAACTATATCAGTAATCCAAGTAATTATAACATATGTGTCACACCAATTAACCTGGGTCCACAACTATATCAATAATCCAAGTAATTATAACATATGTGTCGCACCAATTAACCTGGGTTCACAACTATATCAATAATCCAAGTAATTATAACATATGTGTCGCACCAATTAACCTCGGGCTACACTATTTCAATGATCCCAGTAGTCACGTTGACGACATGTCAGCTTAGTCCATCGCTACAGCTGCAATCTCTCTCATTTCTTCTTCTCCTCCGGCGGTGTCTACGAAGGGAACCAGTCCCCACGTGACCCTAGTTGTTGCCTCCTCGCAACAAGTAAGTTTTGTAAAAATAAAAAATAAACTCTGCCCTTCGAAGTCACCGGAATCTTCCTGGTAGGGGATATAAGATCCATGACCTTATAGCGACCTTAAAATGATTTGAAAACACCAATTTGTATACATGTACACACTATATCATATATATGTATATATATATATATTATATAAGAAAAAAACGTTCATGAACACAAGAGTTTCGAGAATAAGATAAAGACCACGAAAGATTTCGAATTCTAAAAAGCGTTACACTGTAGTCATCTCTAACTAACCATGCAGTTTTGTCACAGCAAGTTTATATTCCAGAATACTATTTGCCGAAGTATTCAGTTGTTGACATGCAGACGACGGACGACGTACCAAGGAGATATAGACGGAAGGCCGGAAGGACGACGTACCAAGGATATATAGACAGTTCGGACAGAAGGACGACGCAGAAGGACGACGTACCAGGGAGATATAGACAGTCGTTGACATGCAGACGACGGACGACGAACCAAACGGATATAGACAGTTGTTGACATGCAGATGACGGACGACGTACCAGGGAGATATTGACGGAAGCACAGAAGGACGACGTACCAGGGAGATATAGACGGAAGGACAGCAGGACGACGTACCAGGGAGATATAGACAGTCGTTGACATGCAGACGACGGACGACGTACGCAGACGACGGACGACGTACCAAGGAGATATAGGCAGTTGTTGACATGCAGACGAAGGACGACGTACCAGGGAGATATAGACGGAAGGACAGAAGGACGACGTACCAGGGAGATATAGACAGTTGTTGATATGCAGACGAAGGACGATGTACCAAGGAGATATAGACAGTTGTTGACATGCAGACGAAGGACGACGGACCAGGGAGATATAGACGGAAGGACAGAAGGAAGACGTACCAGGGAGATATAGACAGTTCAGACAGAAGGACGAGGTACCAAGGAGTTATAGACAGTTGTTGACATGCAGACGACGGACAACGTACCAAAGAGATATAGACAGTTGGTGACATGCAGACGAAGGACGACGTACCAGGGAGATATAGACAGTTCGGACAGAAGGACGAGGTACCAAGGAGATATAGACAGTTGTTGACATGCAGACGACCGACGACGTACCAAGGATATATAGACAGTTGTTGACATGCAGCCGAAGGACGACGTACCAAACGCATATAGACAGTTGTTGACATGCAGACGAATGACGACGTACCAGGGAGATATAGACAGAAGGACAGAAGGACGACGTACCAGGGAGATATAGACAGTTGTTGGCATGCAGACGAAGGACGACGTACCAAACGGATATAGACAGTTGTTGACATGCAGACGAAGGACGACGTACCATGGAGATATAGACAGTTGTTGACATGCAGACGAAGGACGACGTACCAGGGAGATATAGACAGTTCGGACAGAAGGACGACGTACCAAGGAGATATAGACAGTTGTTGACATGCAGACGACGGACGACGTACCAGGGAGATATATACAGTTGTTGACATACAGACGAAGGACGACGTACCAGGGAGATATAGACAGTTCGGACCGAAGGACGACGTACCAAGGAGATATAGACAGTTGTTGACATGCAGACGAAGGACGACGTACCAGGGAGATATAGACAGTTCGGACAGAAGGACGACGTACCAAGGAGATATAGACAGTTGTTGACATGCAGACGACGGACGACGTACCAAGGAGATATAGACAGAAGGACAGAAGGACGACGTACCAAGGATATATAGACAGTTCGGACAGAAGGACGATGTAATAGGGAGATATAGACAGTTCGGACAGAAGGACGACGTACCAAGGATACATGCAGACGACGGACGACGTACCAGGGAGATATAGACAGTTCAGACAGAAGGGCGACGTACCAAGGAGATATAGACAGTCGTTGACATGCAGACGACGGACGACGTACCAGGGAGATATATACAGTTCGGACAGAAGGACGACGTACCAAGGAGATTTAGTACATCATATGATAATTTCTAGGATAGCTATTGGATAACTACCCTTGTTCTATTTGGTATAGTTAGCATCCACCCTTGACAACGGGAACTATACCTGGAGACGGGCACTATTCCTTTTTTTGGACCGCTGAGACTGCGGGAAAAGTAGCGTAACGCTAAGAGTTGTTCCCCTTCTCCTAGGGGGCGCTGTACATATTCTACTTTCACTTCCTTGTTGTCGTCTGCCAAAATGGCTTCACGATTCGGGACTGGAAATTCCGATTGCTTCGCAGAGGCTCAGTAATGCATACAGACGAAGCAGGCGACACAGCTAGACAGGGAACTGTATGTGATCTAGCGGTGATTCAATCGTGGGAATTGAACGGAGTTTTGGTGGATGCCAATATACGCAATAAAAAGGGAGAGATCTACTCAAAAAGATCTCTTATTGCCATTAGGCAAGGTTTTCGGCAGTATTTCCAAGGACCATCATGTGGCAGAGAATGACAGTCATGGGATGTACTAAATCTATTATGACCCTTTCCCTCGGGAACAGTTCTCTTATAGTGTCGTCAGGGTAGGTATGTCTATAGTCCAAGGAGATATAGACAGGTGTTGACATGCAGACGACGGACGACGTACCAAAGAGATATAGACAGTTGTTGACATGCAGACGAAGGACGATGTACCAAGGAGAATAAAAAGCCAATAAAAAGGGAGAGATCTACTAACAACTGTCTTAGGTATAGTGCCCGTGCCTAACGGCTCGGGCACTATACCTCCCCAGACGACACTATAAGAGAACAGCTCCCTCGGGAAAGGGCAATAATAGAATAATAGACAGTTGTTGACATGCAGACGACGGTGGACGTACTAAGGAGGCATAGACAGGTGTTGACATGCAGACGAAGGACGACGTACCAAGGAGATATAAAAAGTTGGGACAGAAGCACGACGTACCAGGGAGATATAGACAGTTCGGACAGAAGGACGACGTACCAAGGAGATATAGACAGTTGTTGACATGCAGACGA